GTGGTAATTCTCCTACTATTAAGTGTTATCATTGTAAGAAAGAAGGTCATACAAGAAAAGCATGCTCTGATTGACTGAACAATCATGATAGAAAGGATAATGGTAATGCAACCATTGTGCAATATGGTTATGAATCATTTGAAGTCTTGGTGGTTTCAAGCAGTAACTCTAGCAAGGAATGAATTATAAATTCTGGGTGTACTTGGCACATGACTCCAAACAAAGACATGTTTAAAGAATTGTATGATCAAGATGGTGGATCAGTGCTATTGGGAAACAACAAAGCTTACAAAATTGAAGGTATTGAATCTATGAAATTCAAGCTCAATGATGAGTCAATAAGGCTATTGACTGATATTAGATACGTACCTGATCTAAAGAGGAATTTGATTTATCTTGGTGAATTTGACAAGAAATGACATATCTTCAAAGGGGTTGAAGGAATTCTTGAGAGGCGTAAAGAAACAAGGCTTGTATACACTTGAGAACGAGGTTGTAAGTGGTTCAGTAGATGCGGCATCCATAAAACTTATATCAAAGACTGAGCTATGGTACAAAATACTTGGTCATGTTAGTGAAAGAGGCACGGTCGAATTGTCAAAACAAAATCTATTGTGCGGTGACAATATTGAAAAACTAGAGTCCTGTGAACCTTGTGTATTTGGCAAATCCTGTAGAGTGAAATTTAACAAAGGTAAACAAACAACCCATGGATCCCTTGATTACACTCATGCTGATCTTTGGGGACTTGCAAGGAATTCTTCATACTCAGGTGCAAAGTATTTTCTATCCATAGTTGATGATTACTCTAGAAAGTTATGGGTATTCATCCAGAAGACTAAGAATGAAACTTTTGGGAATTTCAAAAGTTGGAAGACTCTGGTCAAAAACTAAACTGACATGAAGGTATAGAGGTTGAGGATCAACAATGGTCTTGAATTTTACAACGGGGCTTTCGACAACTTTTGTGTTGTGTCTGGTATTGCAAGGCATAAAACTGCTGTGAGTACTCCCCAACAAAATGGCTTGGCTGAAAGGTTTAATCGAACCATTTTAGAATGAGTGATGTGTATGTTAGTTAGTGCAGGATTGAAGAGTATGTTTTGGGATGAGATAGTCATGACTACAACTTACCTGATAAATAGGTTTCCCTCGACAGCTTTGAGAATGAAAACACCTGAAGAAGTCTGGTCGAAATCCACCTAATCTCGATAGACTTAGAGTATTTGGTTGTTTAGCCTATGTTCACATTAGTCAAGACAAGGTCGAAACTAGAGCTTTGAGATGTATATTCCTTGGATACCCTAACTGAGTTAAAGCTTATAGACTATGGTGCCTAGAGCCAGGTCATAGGAGGTGTATCTAAATTCGAGATAAAGTTTTCAATGAAGAAGAGATTACTTTCAATAAAACTAATGATGTTGGTCAAAGTACCAAGATCTCTGAAAAGGAGCTGGAATAAGGAGAGATTCTTGTTGAGGTGTAGTATATTGATGTTGAATTTCATAACCTAGATGAAGTCGAAAAAGAAGCACAAGTTGCTGATGAAGATGAGGAGACTGATAATGACTACCTACTGGTAAGAGACAGGTCGAGAAGAGTCATCAAGCCACCTCAGAGAGTTGGTTATGCATATCTCATAGCTTATGCCTTAATCTCTACAAGTGAATTTCTGAATGAAGAACCTAGAGATTATAAGGAAGTTATGAAGAGTCAAGATAAGACTGAGTGGCTGAAAGTCATGGATGATGAGATGAAATCTCTTCATGATAATAACACTTAGGAGTTGATAGAGAAACTTGCAGAAGCCATGTTAGTCAGTTGTAAGTAGATTTTCAAGGTAAAGGAAGAAATCAAATGAGTCATTTAAAGGATTTAAGGAAAGGTTGGTTGCTAGGGGGTTCACTTAGAAAGAAGGTGTCAACTTTAATGATGTATTCTCACCTATTGTAAAGCATAGATCCATTCGAATGTTGTTTTCTATGGTGACATAGTTTAACCTAGAACTTGAACATATGGATGTCAAGACAACTTTCTAGTATGGTGATTTAGATTAAACGATCCTGATGAGGCAACCTGGAGAGTATGCAGAAAAAGGAAAGGAAGATTATGTGTGTAAGCTGAATAGGTCCTTGTGTGACCTAAAACAATCTCCTCGACAATGGAATAGAAGATTTGACAAGTTCATGGCACACATTGGTTTTACTAGGAGTCAGTTCAACCATTGTGTTTACTTCAGATTTCGACCTGGAAATTCACTTGTTACTTTGTTGCTTTATGTGGATGACATCCTCATAGCAAACAACAATGTCAAATATGTTATGAAGGTGAAGGATAAACTCGATAAAGATTTCGATATGGAGGATTTGGGAGTTGCCTCTTGATTTTTTGGGATTGACATCAGGATAGATAAAAAGCAATTGAAATTATGCTTATGTCAAGAGACATGCCTGAAGAAGACTCTCGATAAGTTTGGTATGTCGAATTCAAAGTCTGTTCTAATACCGACTAATCCTCAGTACAAGTTGAGTACGACTCAAACTCCTAGTACTGAAGTTGAAAGAGCCTATATGAATAACATTCTATATGCTAGTATAATAGGTTCTTTGATGTATGCTATGATTTGTACGATGCCATACATAACGTACGGAGTGAGCCTTGTAAGCATGTATATGGTCAAACTTGGAAAGGCGCACTAGAAAGCACTGAAATGGATACTAAGGTACATAAATGGGTCTCTGAGCAGAGTCCTGATTTATGATGGAGCCTGTGGTGAAGATAACAAAGTTGAAATCGAAGGATTTGTTGACTCTGATTATGCAGGTTGTATGGATTCAAGAAAATCTATTTTTGGATATGTGTTCACTATGTTTGGCACGACAGTCAATTGGAAAGCAACTCTTCAGAAGGTTGTTTCCTTATCAACCACTAAAGTTGTAAGCATTGTGGCTTGAAGGTTTTGCTAAGGAGCTGAAACTTCAAGGCCGAATTATCAATGTTAAATGTGATAGTCAAAATGCAATACACCTGTCGAAGAATTCAACCTATCATAAGCGAGCCAAGCACATCGATGTGATGTTGCACTTTGTCAGAGAGATAGTCGAGTGTAGAGAAGTCCAAGTGTTGAAGGCTTCGACTAATGATAATACTGATGAAATGATCACCAAGACATTACCGAGTAACAAGTTTTTTCACGGTATGTAGTTGATAAAGCTGGATGATGAAAGCTAGTTTGTTCCCTTGTTAGTGTAGAGTTTGTTCTAAAGTGGAGATTTGTGGTATTTGGATCGAACTCTAATGTCGACAATGGCAGCTTCATGGTTCGACAGGAGTTGCACAAGCTGTAGTCGAAGTTTGTTCAAGCATGTTGTCGAAATACATTAGCTTTGTGTTTAAGTTATCATGTCGAATTGAACCTTTCTTGTAAGCTCAATTGTTAAGTTAGCTTGTAGTCTAAGTTAGCTTAGTAATTTATAAATAGACTAGCTCTTTCAGGTTGTTGAGAAAGATTAATTGTTGTTATTCACTCGTAATCTTTGAACTCTTATTGAAAAAGTGAATAGTAAAACAGGTTTCACCAATTCTTATTCTTCTTTCTTCTTCTCTATTTTGTAAAATCTAATAGAATTTCTTATATTTATTCAAAAAACTCAATCTTTATCTTATAATTTTGTTATGTTTTTATTGACGACATCATTTCACAATATAAATGATGATTTGAAACCTTAAATTGTCCCTTGTCCACCCCTTAGTCTAGATTCTTAATTAAAGTTGTGTTTTAACATGAATTTAGTTTGTCAACATAGTTGAAACTCTAAATAAAATTGACGTTGATATTAATCGTATAAAGATAAATAAAATATCAGTTTTTACATTTACATACAAATAAGATAATATTTTGATTACACCAAAAATTGAATATTTTTTCGGATAATATTATGAATGTTTTTATAATGTGTCAAATATTTGTCTAAATATTTTTACATTGTCATCAATCTGATTAAGTTATTATTAAGGTTTTAGTTTTGTCATTCCTATCACAATTTTTTTAGTCCAGCAATCTAATAAAAATGTATTAGTGGATCTCCTAGATTTGATCCCGCGACAATTAGATCTCATCACATAGCTATCAACTAAGTTAAAATATGAGAATTTCTAAAAGCATTTTTAATTCATAGCAATTAAACTATTTAAAAAATAGATTTAATTAAAATATACATTATAAAGAGATTTTACACTATCAACTAATTGGAGATCTTGAATAAAAAAGAATTTTTATTTTTATTTTAATAATTTATAAAATAATATAGTGATGAATTAAGAACGTGTAGAGTAATTAAATTCTAAAAAAAATTTATTGAGAAAGTAAAAGTAGATACAAAGCTAGATAGATCTCACAGCCAATCTAGTTACCCGTTTTTGCTGCTTATTCCTCTTTCAATTCTTTCGAATAACTCTACCACCCAGGCAAGCTTCAATTTCTCCGCTTCTTCAACAAATGTTTTTTGTAAATTTCTTGCTTTATTATCTACTTTTATTTCTAATCTTGGTTATTTGAATTTGATATATCAATATACTTTTATCTGTGATTCTGTTGATTTTCGTGTATCCATTCTGATTGAGCTTTTGATTCTCATATTGAATTCTTAGTGTAATTGTTGAGTGCTTGTTGTGGTGGGTGATTTTAGTTGTTGATAACTACCAGGGAAATATGCAATTTTGTTTTTCACTTATTTATTTATTTATATATTTATCTATCTACCATCAGCATTGTAATTTTATCTACAAATTTGGATTAACACAATATTTGATGCCTAACATTAATTACATTAAGAGTCTTAACTTTGGCTGATGTGTCTTCAGTGGGTTATGCTTCTGGATTTGAATGAGCATGCTTAGTGTGGAGCAAAAAGTATGATTTGACATTCAACAATCGCGCCCACCGTGGTTCTCGAGTCAATCCGCAAGTTGCGCTTAAATACAGCACATTTGTAGCAAGAATGCAAAATAATTATGTAAGAAATTATCTTGTTGGTCAGCCAGGCTTGTTGTCTGGTGAGAATGGTACTCGAAATAAAGAGACATGTTTGGCAAGAGATAACTACGGATCACATGGATATGGCTTGCCGAGTGATGCATATGATGAAGGCAAGTAAGTATGACCTGTGTTAGTTAAAGTATGATATGATTGACTAGTGCAATGTATCTAATCTTGCAGCCTTGTCGCCGTGAATTTAAATCTGTACCGTTTATTTTAGTAATGCTTAACTTCACTATTTGATGTTTGAAAGATCTGTGGATCTGTAGATGCTCTAGAATAAATTTTGGATGTAATTAGACTTTGGAATAATGAATTATAAATGATGTAGTTATCAGATTATTCTGTGATATGTATAATATATTTTCCAGATACTTTATGGTTAAGGTATGCTCTATGATATGTATGCAGTGTGCGCTTTTTGCCAGAAAATGATTTTTAGATCACAAAGTCATGTGATGTAGGCATAGTTTTGCGTTTGGACACTGCTATGCACTAGCAATTCTGTAATATTCATGATTCAGAAATGCTTTTCAATTTTTACTTAGTAGTACCTTTAGCTTTTTATCTTGGCATTGTATTTTTAGAAATGTTGTACTTTAAGTGCTTTGGGTTATCACATTTTCATGATATTCTGCACCATCTAGCAACATGACATCCGGTATTTGCCACAGCCCACGATACGATTTCTGATTTTTCTGATTCATTTTGCAGTTTTTGTTTTTATGTTTCAACTCGGTATAGTTATATAGCAATAAATGGTCAAATGATTGAAAAATAGATGCCAGCATTTTACCTTACATTAAATTCTATAATGCAGTTCAAGAGAATAATGGAATGCAACCCTACATTCCCAATGAATCAATTGACGCCAAAGCCAGTCAGCAGAACCAAGTCAACCAAGAAACGGATGAGGCTCGTGAGGAAGACATGGAAATTGGATACGATGAAATGCCATCAACGCCAACTTACGAGGGTCTTGAACAAAGATTTATTGATGAAATCATGAAATTAGTTAGGGAGCGAAGTGATAAAGAGGATGCAGAAATTTCTAGGCACAAGGAGGTCAGTGTTAAATAGAATTAGTAATATTTTGCAATAGATAGAATACTCCACACAAAGCTACTAAGTCTTTTCTCAATACAGAGAATAATCTATATAAAATTTGTAGTGTTAGACATAAAAGCATCACATCCCTTCAACAAACTACTTAAGCTTTTGGATTAGGATATTGTTTGGATAAACAAACAACTTAATCAAACACTTATTATGTAAGTTTTTATGTATGCGCTATTATTATAACAAATGATAAAACAATGTCAAAATTGTTTATATATATTGATCCAGAGTTTGATTATCTAATCATTTCAAACTTACTATATATTGTTTTTTGGCCAGAGAATAGTTGAGATTAACGAAGAGTTCCAAGAGAAAATGTCTTCCCTGAGAGCTCATCAAGAAACTCGGAGACAAGAGTTTCTTCATAAGGAATTGAAGGCAAGATCAAACCAGTATCAGGTTGGTAAAAGGAATCACCATCCCAACATGAAGATAGCAGATGCTAATGGCTATTTATGTCCAACAACATTCACTGCTGGAGAAGCAACAAGTAGTAGCAGGTTTCATGGTGCTACTGAGTATTGTAAGTATGTTGGAGAACCAACTGAGTGTGCGACAACAATTTCAAATGGGATAAAAACTAGTCAAAGCAATGAGACAAGGGTTCCATTGCCCCCTGGTCGTGTTTATAATAACAATTCTGTACATAACTAGATTAAAAATAATATAATGATTCGTTTGAGCCAACCGCAACTGTTGCCTTTTTTGAAAATGTGACTGACAATGATGATCATGTTTTGAGCCAAAGCCATACAATTTAACCACCTATGCTTAATTTGGCAAGCAATAATATTTCCATATTTAAAAGCTAAAGTAACAAGCTTTGGGTCTGTTTCGATCCACAAATTGTTTCCAACCTTTCCTGCTAGCAATTTCAGTGATTTTTATCACCCCAAAGAGTTTAACATTTAGAGCATATGTTTGTCCTAATTTCATGGAAAAACAACCCAAGGTTTCATGCAAACTGGTCCCTGAATGTACTTTCACATTTATATTAGGGATGTCTTTAGCAGCATCATCTGTATTGCATTTAATCCAATTGAATGTAGGCCGTTGTCAAATGATTTCATTGATGCTAGGAGCTTTGGGAGGGTGGAACTTGACATTGAAGCCTTTGAGGATGAAAAAATATTGAATGGCAGCATTTGCACAACAGTTTGATGCATTGCCTGATAAGGAGACATTATAATTATTTGGGTCACAACGGACTTTCCAAAAAGTGTAAAGGAGAAGAGAAATCAATGTTGATGCTTAAAGCATAACTAAGCTAAAGGCAAAGCTGAATAGCAAAAGGTCCCGTTAAGCGAACTCAATTGGTAATTGTGAAGGGACTTCAGGCGTAGGGACGTGAGTTTGAATCCGCAACATCCCACTTGTTCATCTTTAAAGGGTGATTTTTAACCAATAGGTTGGAGATGAAAAACTTTCGGCTTGCCTTTGAAAATGGCACACCTAGGTAAATGAATGAAAGGGTACCAGTTGAGAAACCAAACCTATCTGCAATGGATGTAAGCTTATGGTTGTCGACGGATCCACCAAAGATAGTGGACTTTTAAGTGCTCACTACCTGACCATAAATTTCAACATACTTGTTGAAAAGATTCCCTAAAGCTTAAAAATTTGAGTCTTGACCTTTGTTGAAAACCATTACATAATCAACATATAAAATGTGAGAGGGGACATTTGTCCCTCTATGGCCTTGAATGTGAGAAATTCTTCCTTCCTACTAAGCTTTATAGTGCCACTTCATTCTAGCCTTCTTCTGCCAGAATATTTCCCCAATTTCGAGAGCTTTGTCTAGATAAATTTGAGCTAATTTTCTCTTGGTCTATTAGCTCATTTGTGCAACCAAATTCAGAGAATTGCTATTGAATTGCCTGTAGCTTGCTAGCAGCATTGTGCACCTGAACTTACACATTTCCAAAAGAGTTTTTGTTCCAAACTTTCAGCTTTTCTTTGAGCATTTTGAGTTTTTGAGTTAACACATACGTGAGACAGCCTACTACCTGACTATTCCAAGAGTCTTTAATAATCTTTTCATGATCATCTTGTTCCAACCACATCTTCAAGAACCTAAACTGGGATCTATGTCTGTCTGGTTTTTAAACTCAAACAAAATGGGATAGTGTTGGAACCAAAAACTCACACAGTAGAAATATGGAAATCAACACCCCACACCTGAAGCGTCTCATTCAACTAGGAACTTATCAAAATCAGGAAAGGCTAATACCGGAGTTGTCGTGAGCCTTTCCTTAAGTGTTTCAAAAGTTGTTTATGCACTAGACCCTCATTTGAACCCTTCCTTCTTTGTAAGATCTGTTAGCGGCCTCGTAATTTTTCCATAATCTTTGATAAACTTACGATGATATCTGCTAAGTCCTAGAAAACCCCTTCTCCCTTCAATTTTGAGGAACTAGCCATTGCTTGACACTACTCACTTTACTTGGGCCTACGGCCACTCCCCAACCTAAAATATGACCCAAGTATTTTTCTGTAGATTGGCCAAATTGACACTTCTTCTGGTTTACCACCCTTCAAATTCGTCTCTACTTTCTTCCACATTCAACACCCTTAACCTGCCTCCACTCATACTTTGTTTGAGAATGCACTGTAGAGCACTCACACCTTCATTCTGACTCCCCACTTCTTTGAGGTTGTTCCTTTCTATGAATTTCCAGACCTTGTAAACTCATCATACTCATCTCTCCCTCTACTTCTACTTGGTTCTCCTCCACTTCCACCGCTAGGATCTAAGCTTGCTTTTCAATATCTACTTCCTCAACAATGATCATTACTCTGAGTTGTTTATCTGGCCATTCGTGTAGTGGATGGCCTTCCATTCTTATATCTCACCTCTTTGATGTATCCTCATCAACTGCGCATACATATTCCCTGGCCCCATGTTGCTTTTTTGTAAGTGTTAGAAATATTTTTTATTTTAATATTTATTATTTAATACTATTTTTTTTGTTTAAGTGTTATTATAATACTCCTAAAATAAAGGAGTTAATTTTGTATTTTCTCTCTTATAAAATGAGTTTTTTTTTCTTCATAATAATATAACAAAATTATCACTCATATGTTTCTTTACATGGTATCATGAGCTCTGTTAGAACTAGGGTGATATTGTAAAGCTTTCTTTAATTAGTAGGGTTCAGGGAATCGCCCTAGAAATTTTTTTCTAACGATCCGTTCTTTTATCCGACCTGACCGATCCAAATTATGGTGGATCCTATCCAAACACCACCTCCTCTCGGAGGAGGTCGTGGAGGCGACAACGGCAGCACCAACAACTTCAATAAAGACAACAAGAAATATGGTAAGAAAGGTGGTAAACTCTGGTGTGATCACTGCGAACGTTATTATCACACACGTGAGACTTGTTGGAAAATTCATGGAAGGCCTTCTAATTGGAAAAAGAAGGGTGAGCGTCGTGCACTTCAAGCAACTTCGAATCAAGAGCCACAATCCTTCCCAAATGCATTTCCATTCACTAAGGAACAGCTAAATCAAATGCACAAACTCTTCGAGTCTCAAACACCTTCACGCTCCATAGCCCAGAAAGGTAACTTCCCAAAATCAACCCATTTTAGTGGCATTCTTAATCGTACATGGATCGTTGATTCTGGAGCCACCGATCATATGACTGGTGAATCTAGTTTATTTTCTTCATATAAACCTTGTGCAGGAAATTCTAAAATTAAAATAGTTGATGGCTCTCTTTCAGTCGTAGTAGGAAAATGTTCTATTGTTTTGTCTCCCTTACTAACCATCCAAGATGTGTTACATGTCCCAAACTTGTCTTGCAACTTATTATCTGTCAGTAAGCAAACCACAAATAAAAATTGTCAAACTCATTTCTTTGATACTCATTGTGTATTTCAGGATTTGATCCCGGGGAGGGTGATTGTCACTGCTAAGGAAAGTGGTGGACTCTACTTCTTGGAAGATGAACCAAAAATCAGACATCAATTTGGACCAATATGTTTTTCTTTTGTTAAATCTTTTTTTGTTTCAAATAATAAGGATGACATTATGTTGTGGCATTTAAGGTTAGACCACCCTAGTTGTAAGTATTTGAGTTCATTGTTTCCTAAACTTTTTGTTGAACAAGACATTTCTTCACTTCAATGTGAAGTCTGTGAGTTTGCTAAACATCATCAAAGTTCTTTTCCAATTCAATCTTATAAACCTTCAAAACCTTTTTCAATGATTCATAGTGATGTTTGAGGGCCTAATCGAACAAGCACTTTATCCAACAAAAAATGGTTTATCACTTTCACGGATGATCATACTAGACTTTGTTGGGTATACTTGTTGAAAGAAAAATCTGAGGTAGGTCAAATAATTCAAAACTTTTGTAAATTGGTGCAGACACAGTTTAACACCCAAATACAAGTGTTTAGAACTGACAATGGTACTGAATTTTTTAATAAAATTGTTGGAAATTTTTTCCTTGAAAATGGAATTATGCATCAAAGTTCATGGGTTAACTCACCCCAACAAAATGGGATTGCAGAGAGAAAAAACGGAACCTTCTTGAAGTTTCACGAGCACTACTCTTCTCTACCAATGTGCCTAAATATATATGGGGTGAAGTTGTCTTGACAGTCGCTGTCGCTACTGCGAAAATCGGCGCCGGCTGACAGAAGAGTCGCCACCGTGCGTTATTTATCCCTCAGAGCGGGAAAGGAAACGCTCGAAGTAAACCTCGCAAAAAACGGGGAAAAGGTATGGTCATCGCAACCATAGCCTGGGTTCGGGAGTCGGTTACGCAAGGGGAAGGTATTAGCACCCCTCACGTCCGTCGTACTCGACGGGATCCACGCTTGCTTGGGTTGTCTACTGGATGCAAAACAATCTATCTACGGCTGCTAAATCTAAACGGAAGGGAATTGACTCGATAGAGCGTCGCACCCTATGCCTACGTATTCTCGAGGGAGAAAGTCAGAGTCAACGTAGTTCGGGACTACGGGGAAAATTGGCTCGCCAAGACCTCGCGTCTTGTGCCTACGTACTTCCACTGCATGGAAGATCAGAGCTTTACGTAGTTCAGACTAACTACGGCTAAACACACATTCTCACACAGCAGTGAGAAAAACAACTGGTTTCACAGGGTCGGGAACCTATGGGCAAAACTATGGTTTGGTCTCAAATGCACTTGGGCAAGAGAGAAAAAGGGGTACTCAATTAGTCGTCAGCGGGAAAGTCTCGATCGCACAGCCGCGAGAGAACAAAAGTTAGTCGTTAGTGTGCTCGCTAGGATATCGCATCCTATGCCTACATATCTTCGTCTGGTACGAAGAATCAGAGCAGCTGTAGTTCGGCTACTTCAGGACCACAGCTCAAATCTCGTTTTATTAATCTCTGAAAAATGATTACAATGGTTGCATACTGCAAATAAACTCCTAGGAAACGCTATCCTATTCTATCCTGAAAAATTGAATGAAAATAGCCCCCTAACAAATGGGCTTCCAAACTACCTCTAAAATCGAGAAAATAACTTCTATGAAAAGATATCCTAAAAGCAAATGAACTCTAAAAAATATTAAATCGACACTTTAATATTTTTTCCTTTTTTCTTCTTTTCTCTTCAACATATTTTTCTTCATATTTTCTTTCTCAATATTTTTCTCTATTTTTTCATATTTTTC